GTTGAAAGTATTACAGATGTCTCCTTTTTCCCCCATTGATCCTCTCCACCCCTCATCCACTCCACCCTCAAGCCTTCCTCATACCAATGTCTGTGTCCATGGGTTATGCTTATATACATATAAGTTCTTTGATTAATCTCTCCCCACCCACTGCCCATCCCCACCTTCCCTCTGAGATCCCTCAGTCCATTCCATGTTTCTATGTCTCTGGATCTATCGGTTTATTTTGTTTATTACATTCCACATATGAGTGAGATCATGTGGTACTTGTCTTTCTTTGACTGGCTTTTTTCACTTAGCATAATACTCTCCTCATAAGGAATTTTTTTGAAGCAGTATAGATGAGATTATTTTCAAGCACTGGCATTACTAAAAGGAGCCCTGTGACTAGGGAAGAACCTTTCTCAAAAATGTCTTGAGGTTCCTTGCTTGCCATGTTTTAGGCAAGCAACCTTCATTCCTTACCCAGAAAGAATGCCATGAACTAGATACCAGGCGATTTTTGCAATGAGCTTTTATTAGCTTTGAAAGTCTATCTTAAGTTCTTAAGGATTTCTAATGACATTCAGAGTCCAGGCATGTTTCTCTTAGACATGACATTCCAGGTGAAGTCTTATTTAATAAAACTGCAGTTTCCAATTGTGGTTTTATTGGATTAAGGCAAATAAATGTATTGTGATGACTTATTCGTTAAGACTTGCAAAATTCTGGAGAGATCAAGTAGGGCACATTCCTGGGTTCTAGGCTTCATCCTCAGTAGGAGGCAGCTGATCAATGATTCTCTCATCATTGATGTTTCTCTCTCTCCCCCCCTCTTCCTTCATTTTTCAAAACCAGTTAAAACATATTTTTTTAAAAAGAGGGCTTTTGGATTTTTGGCTTGTTTTTGTTTAGAAAACAAAAGCTAGTCAGTCCTTGGTGAGAAACTTAAGGGACTTCTGCTCTATCTGAGGAGATTAACAGCAAGTGTAATTTTGGATGATTAGTTCTGCTCTAGCTAAGCTTTGTGATTTCTCATAGCTATGTAACATGTTTCACAGATCTTGACAACTTGAACAGTTCCATTCTGTGTTGGTGAGACAGCAATTCTACAGCCAGGGAGTCCTTATCTGCTTACACTGAATGGCGGGGAAACCCCATGGAGAGATTCAGGGCTTAAGGAAGCGAAGAAGAAAGCATGGCTAAATTTAATCTCACATTAGAATTTTGCTTAGCCTAATTAGTTTGCAAATACGTAATTTATTTTACTTCACGGGTCATAAATATGCTGTACCCTCTGCTTCTCTTGACAACCAAAGGAAAGGGATTTACAATACATTGTCTGAACAAACAAACCCTTATTTGTTCAGCTTCCTTTAGTAGTCTGATTATCTTCTTAAAGAAACACGCAACTCCAATTCTTTCTCTCTTATATGATTATTTCCACACTTGTAAAATAATGTTTAAAGGCCACACATCTTCATTTGCCATTTTAATGTCATTATTTTAACGTATTTCAGTACTTTTTGTATTTTTTTGCATTTATAGCCAGGTGACAAAATGGTCATTTGTGAAACTCAGTTGTATTTAAATAATTAAATATATTAAAATTATATTTAAATTAGTGAGGGAAATTCGATTCTTTATAGAACCTACCCCTGTTGCCAGGTCAAAGAAAAATTCATGATTGTTTATAATTTACAGAAGAAATGCATTATGATTTCTAAATCATGCTGACTGAACATAACTATAAAATCCCTTAATTTATGGCATTTGTCCTTAGAAAACTTTTTAGTAGTTTGTAATTTAGATCTACTTTCACGTAATATTTGAGTTTGAGTTTCTAATAAGTTATGGGGAAAGAACCCTTCCCACACCCCATTTGGTGGTTCTTTGGCTCTATTGTATGGGCACAGGTGGAAAAAGAAAGTCTTCCATTAACTATGTTCGTAATTTGAGGTATGACTACTATAGAGTACACAGCCTTCATGTTTCAAGTGGTGGTTTGCTTTCAGTTCCTACCTTGAGTATCCAGAAACCCTCTGTTTGGTAAGAAGCCAGTAAATTATGGATGACTTAATGCATACATCCTCTCAGTTGAAAATGGCAAGTCAAATTACTGATCTGGGCTTCACCTCCCCTGGATCTTTTCTCTTTACCTCAAAGTTGGTCTCAACGGATAGAGTTCTTTCTATTTCACATAATAATCTTTATTTTCATAAAATGAATAAGCCTCATACTAAGAGCTATTGAAGCAAAACCTTTAGAGTTAACACTGAAAAACAAACTGACTTCTTGTATATAAAATTTGGGAAACTTGCTTCGGTAGGTATACTTTCATGCCACTCCCCTATAATTTTGAAGGTTCTCGGCCTCCCCTCATCCACTTTACCTTAGAATGTTGTAGCCCAGCACTTTAAGGCCAGTTCAGGCATCATTTTACTCTCTTTGGTTCTCTCCTCCACAATCCACTCTGCTGTGAGACCCAGCCTTGACACTGAGAACAGAAAAATATGAGGAAACGTGGAAGAAATCAGTTCTGAATTAATTATTAACATAATTAAAGAAATAGGTTTTCCCTTGGCAAGAGGTAGGGGGCACTCAGAGCCCCTCAGAATCCCTGTGAAATATTAGAGGAAGAGGCTTGCTGACAATCTAAGAAAGAGCTTTTAGTAGAAATACTCAGATTTCAAATAAAATGTGGTGTTGCTTTTTTTATTTGGTGAGGGGGTGCGTATTATTGCTCTACTGGTTTAATCTAAGTAATAACCTCACTTTTTCCTGATTTGATGGTTTCTGATACTTTGATAACTCTATTGTTTGTTCATTTTAACCTAAAAATATAAAGTGTGCTTTCCACATTTCTGATTCATGAAGAATTTTATTTACAACTGAAATCATGTGCTTTAAATTCTATTGCTTTTCTTGCTTAATTGTATCAAGACAAACAACTGAATATAAGCATTATGAACTGTGTGGTCTTAAAATGATGGTAGCAGCTGCGTCTTCACATCATAGAAATATGGAGGCATCACATAGCAAGGTCGTCTGCAGCAGTTCAAGCGCCCACAGCAATCTCTCATACATACATTCTTGTGTAGCATACTCTCTGTATAGATTATCTGTGTAAATGTTCATACTCATAAGTATATATCACTAAGACTATTTTTGCAAGTATACATATAGTATTTTGCCCTTAAACGTAGAGTCAGAGATGAATAATGCATTATTCTGCAGTCACCGTCTGCAGACCATGTCCCCATTTGTGTCAATAATTGGTACGTAGTGGTTTTTCTTTCACAGATCACAAATTATTTTGTTGTTGTTTTTTAATTAGAGTTGACAGTCAGTATTATAGTAGTTTCAGGCGTACAACATGGTGCTTAGACATTTATATAACTTACGAAGTAATTACCCGGTATGTCTAGTGCCCACCTGGCATTATACAGTGTTGACTATGCTGTCTTTCAACTTTTTTAATACTTTGTTTCTGTGAAATTTAATAAAAGTGTCATTACTTCGACGTTGAGAGACCATCTCAGACTTTGGGTGAGTTGGATTTCAGGCAGTGGTGGAAGGAGGCCCAAAGCCACGTGTCCTCCATGAGTCTTAAGTGTGCATCACTACAGTGTCTTATTACAGGGTTGTTGCAAAGGTTATTAGTTCCTGCATGAGTCTCCCTTATGGTCCCATGTGACATCAAGCCATTCCCCATTAGGGTAAAGAGGAAAATCAAACACCAACTGCTCCATGACATCATATTGAACGTTAACTGCTCCATGACAATGTTGATAGCACAAAGGCCTAGGCATTTTTATTATAAGCCCTGAAGAACAATTGGACTTTTATAAAGCTTTAATATCTGCAGAACCGTAGGCCTAGATCACTCTGGTTTTGAATGTCTTATATTGATTGACTAGATTGATGAAATGTGATGACTTTTATTTATTTATCTATTTATTTTTATTGATTACATTGGGATGACATAAAATTATATGTGTTTCAAATGTATAATTCTGTAATACATCATCTGTATATGTGTGTTCAACACCCATATACAAGTCACCTTCCATAAACATTTACCCCCTCTGTACCCTCTTCTACCTCCCTCCACCCCAAGGAAATCTTACCTTTTGTGACTGCAAAGGTGGACCTGGAGGGTATTATTCTAAGTGAAATAAGCCAGTCAGAGAAGGACAAATACTATATGATTTCGCTTAAATGTGGAACATAATGAACAAAATAAACAAACAGACAAAATAGAAACAGACTCATAGATACAGAAAACAGACTGACAGCTGTTAGAGGGGATGGGGGTTGGGGAGCTGGGTGAAAAAGGTGAAGGAATTAAGCAAAAAATATATAGATAGATGATAGATGATAGATAGATAGATAGATAGATAGATAGATAGATAGATAGATAGACATATATACTGAATTTTAAACTCTTGAAGTCCTTGTTATATTGACCTTGAGCAAGATGTTTCTCTCTCAAGGAGGGTAGGATTCCAACTTCTTAGCATTTTAGCTGCCTAACTCCTAGTTGAGTTCCTCTTCCTTTCATCGTCTATATAAACAAATCCATTTATACACTAACCTCTCCTCTGTAGCTGTATTTATTTTCTTGTGCTGATATTATTTCTATGTGCATTGACTCCAGTTCACCAACAAACTAGGCTTGGATTTCCTGAAAAAGCTCATAAGTTGTTAGCCTATCGGAAATAGTTGAATTCAAACCTTGGTTTTCCCATTTATCCTTAGAGCTTCTAATCAGTCACATTTCCCTGCCCGTTAGTACTTTTTAGAGTTTTCCTCCCTTAACTCTGACAGCATGTGTTTACATCTGAGGCTTTGACAAGGCAACACGCTCTCAAAAGCAAGTCCGTGTTTCCTTTTACTAAGTTACAAAAACTGAGAAATACAAATGTAAATTTTGCCAATTGGTAATCCAATATTTCTGCAGATTTTAGAGCATCTGTACTGAATTAAATAAACTTTGGTTGATATATGTTTTCTTCTAGCAATGGTTGTTTTGAGCAACCTGGAACCAAATACAACTTATGAAATCAGGGTTGCAGCTGTGAATGGAAAGGGGCAAGGAGACTACAGTAAAATAGAAATCTTCCAAACGTTACCAGTTCGTAAGTAATCCTCTCTGTTTTGCTCACCGTGGCCGGGATTTTAAAATGTAGGGAGATGTTTCAACACTTGGGGGAAGCGGATTATGTCTATTATGTCTCTGTTGAAATAGTTTCAGAATACGGTGGCATCTCAGATTTATAATAATAACTTTGCTCTGGAGCAAGGCAAAGAGGAGAAGATGCACAGCACTATATACAGGGAAATTGCTCTCAGGAACTGTCCCGATCAGGTGGCCCACTTATTCATGGTCTGATTAATTATATTGCGGTGCTCAGACTACATTCTGTGAGGGAGTATAAAAGAGTGTGTAACATGCCCAATATTGCGTTCTGTAGATGAGGCATGACTATCCCTTTAGCCCATAAATTAGATAGGCCCTAACTGTGAGGAAAATGCACCATTAAATTAATCCATTACAATGTGACTGCAGAAGAATTGCAGCCTTGTTCTCATTACTGAGCTGTTTGGGGTGTTATAAGTCACTGAGTTTATATAAAGTTAAGAGAAGTTTAAAATGACTTATATTTTTTATGTTGAATAAATTGTTTAAAAATATAAGAAAGCCTGGCCGGGAGTGGCTCAGCGGTTGAGCTTCGACCTCGGGTCCAGGAGATCGGGGTTCGATTCCCGGTCAGGCCACATGCCCGGGTTGTGGGCTCGATCCCCAGTCGGGGGCGTGCAGGAGGCAGCCGGTCAATGACTCTCATCATTGATGTTTCTCTCTCTCTCTCTCTCTCCCTTCTTCTCTCTGAAATCAATAAAGATATATTTTTTAAAAATTTTAAAATAAGAAAAATTTTAAAACTAAGTTATGTCTCTTAAAAAAATGAGAAAAAAATGAGTGTGATTTAAGAAATGCTGTTATAAAAATCTATGTATAATCCTATTATACACATACACTAAGACAGTCAAGTTCGCCACATAAATTGCATTATCCCAGTTTGTGACTGATTATTTCCTGTTTGTCTGAAAATTTATGAGATGTGTTCCCTTTTCTCCATTCCCAGTGCCAGTGTCATTTTTGGTTTCTCGTTATTTTTTTCGCCAGCAGGACTGCAAATGCATCTTGATTCATATTCCTATCTCTAGATTAAAATGAGTCCAGAGTCACTGCACATCAGCATTTGATGAAAGCATGATCGCTTTACTAAGACTCTGGCTAACCACAGAACGCCTTTCTATTACTCTTTTATTTTTTCCCCTTTCCCTTTTAAATGACAACACTCTAATCTGTCAGTGTATTTTTGTTGACTTGCAAACCTCTGCCCTAGACAGTGAGCACTTTGAGGGTAGGGACATTGGGTTTTTCTTAATAATATATATGCATTTAAACTGTTTCTCAATTTTTTTTGCCTTTAAATGAGATAATATATGCAAAGTACTTAATGCGTCATAACTACCCATTATTACTTTTTGAGTATTATTTATCTTATTACCTTTGCATAAACATTTTGTTGTAGTTACTATTAGAAACCATTATTTTAATAAATTTTTCTCTCATATAATCTACACTTGTACTGAAATTTCTTTTCAAAGGAAGTAACAGTTATAATGGAATCATGAATTTGGCATAAATTTTTAAACTATATATTTTAAAACATTTGTTACCAAAATTACAATCTCCGCTTTATGATTACTTTCTCAAAATGCTGTTATGAAAAATAATATTTTTACAATAATATTAAATAAACATACTGTACAACATGTAAACTCTAAAATTCAATTTAGAAATGATACTAAACCACCTGAGCATAACATCATTTTATAATATTTAGATTTTTTCCATAATAGCTTATATAATCTATTTTAAAAAATTATTGTACTGATTTTTACAGAAGTTTTATTCATTTATCAAAAAATACATTGTGATGTTGTAGATTATGTCATGTCATGACCTCTGGGTGCTAATTTAATTAGCTTTCGTGAACAACCACTCTACAGTTCCTCTATTCACTTTGTTTCTATATGGCTGTACATACGAGCGCTATTTTCTTATTTACTGTGTGCCAACACACCCAGTGGTCATATTTCTTTAATGACCTGCTTTCTCACAGATAAACCACACACTTGCTTAACCATATTAGAAATAAAGATCACTTGCTGAGGAGACCCCAGGCTCCCCAGGTTTGGAGGCATGCAGTCCGCTTTGCTCCATTCTGCTCGGTTTGTCTGTCTGGGGTATTGCAGGTTTCTGGAACCCTGCAAACTGAAGCATGCCCTCTACCAGTTGTTTAGCATTGCTGCATTCATATTCACATCCACATCCTAGGGAGTTGGAGGAAACAGAGGCAGAGCAAGCCAGTGCATGCCCAAACACATCCCGTGGTGACACTCAGCAGACAGCCCCATCTCAGGTTGCCAGGCAGTGCTGTCATTCTTCAGATGACGAACTCGTACACTTCAGTGGGTCCCTGTTCATATTCAGAATATCACAAGCATCTGTGTTATAAATCATCTCCGTATGAAGAGCAGTGTCATAAACAAGTATATTCATAACGCTAGAAAAAAATATCTTGAAATACAGGCCTATAGATTGTATAATACAAAAATTTTTCACTCACAATTATTTCTAGTTAAAAAAAATGCTCATGAAAGCAGATAACTAATCGCCAAGCCATTATCTTTTCGGGTAGGGACATATACTATATAGCTTGATGCCTTCATATGTTTATATTAATAACTATTTAAAAATGTATGCCAACTAAATTCACATGAGTAAAATAAACAGGATTGCACACTGTTAAGAGAAATCACAATTTGTACTTGGATGATGCAGTACAGTTCTCAGAGCATCTTGATCAATGTGAACAATAGATTTGCTCCTGAGCTTTCACAGTTTGGGCACAATGCCTCTAGATTTGTGAATGTTGCTGTTCCGTGGAAGCGGAGAGAGGATCAGAGGCTATAGCTCAACAAAGGGCAAATAGCCTATGTTAAATCCATGAATTTTATCTCTTTTGATTATATGACAGTGTTATTTTTATTACAGTGCAGTTTCTCTAGGTATCCGGGGGGTGTGCAAATATCAAGAATGTTGTCTTGTGTACTTAGGTGAACCAAGTCCCCCCTCCATACATGGGCAGCCAAGCAGTGGGAAGAGCTTTAAACTCAGTATCACCAAACAGGATGATGGAGGAGCCCCTATCTTGGAATACATTGTGAAGTATAGGAGCGTAAGTACCCACCATTGTAATTTTGTACCAAGTGTTCTCAAGTTGTGTTAAATTAGCCCTGAGTTCAGATTTATCAGGAGTGAATGTATATTACATAACAGCGGTAAAGTGCTACTCATAGGGATATAAATGGTAATTTTCTATTGCTGAAATTTATCATTATAAATGACAAAATATTTGCTTTTTTTGGTAAAATCTAAGCATAAGTCACCAAATAATCCCCTGGCTTTCATCTTGTGATTTCTACATATTTCTGAATTGAGACACCATTTTCCCTGTTTTCCTGACAAGTTAGCAGAATATTTTCACCCTCCATTCTGGTTGACATTAGTAACTTTAGGCTAAGCCCTCTTCTCAATTCTAATTATTTAGGTAAGATTATTAGGAAATCACATCTTAAATGAATTACTTCAATCGGAATTTAACAAAGAATGACCACATTGAACTTGAGAAAGTAGAAGTATTATATTTTGAAGCTTAATTAGCACAAGCTAATGTGAGACTTGGGACAATTAAGAGCTGCCTTGGGACTTTTTATATGTGTAAGGGGTGAAGACGGCCACTCACTGCCCCGTGACAAGGTGGCCCAGAGGACTTTGCCTCTTTGCCTTTACATGAAAATGATTCCAAAGGCTACTGAAAGTGAGTTCTCCTAACAACCTTTCTGTAAGAACTAAGTGTGTTTGTGCCTACTGTGGAATATATTAAAAATGAAACACGGAAATTAAATTGTGTACGATGTATTTTCTAAGGTTTATAATTATCCTCATAATCCAGTGACAATTTTGTATGTCGACTGACCCTTTACTAACAGTTTCCAGTCTATTATATTTTTAGCAAATGACATTTAAACAGTTGTTTCCTCGTTGTATGTAGATGAATTTTAAATATTTTTCCACAAATTCACAGTTGTCTAAATGGTAATATTGCTACTTCTAAATTCAAACATTCAAGTTTTGAGGGGTAATAAAAACAGGAATTTGATTTTGAATAGCATGCTTCAGTAATTAATTTTAGGCATCAGTCTGGTCTTTGAAATTTAAGATGAATGCCTTTTCCAGAACCTCTCTTTGTCTCAGGTGTCACGCTGGCAGTAATGAGCCGCTGTGTATGTCTTTTGGGTGCTCTGCGCTGAAGGCTACATGAGTCTACCCCAAAGCCACCCTGAAAGGCTTATGGTCGCTCTGAGTCTGATAGTGGTGTGCTGCTCATGCCAAGTGCCTCGGCCATTCTTCTTTGCCCATCTGGAAATTCTTTGGCAGGAGAGAATCTTTCTCTAAGGAACACAGGCCTGAACCAAATTCATGAATTGAACTGGGAGAACAGATCTTTCCTTCTATGCCTATAATTGCACCTGGAAGAATTTACAGTTCAAAATGCAGGGAGATGGCAAGGTTTGTAAGGAACCCCAATGAAATCCCATGGGGAACAATGAAATGCAATCACTAGTAAAAATACATTTAATATATTCTCTTTATTCATAATTTCTACCTAAAGCTAAAATTTATGCTTGACTTCTCCTTTCTAAAGAGTTAGTATTCAAAATAAAACGTGGGGCCTGGCTGGCGTGGCTCAGCAGTTGAGCATCAACCTGTGATCCAGGAGGTCGGGGTTCGATTCCCGGTCAGGGCACATGCCCGGGTTGCAGGCTCGATCCCCAGTGGGGGGCGTGCAGGAGGCAGCCGATCAATGACTTTCTCTCATCATTGGTGTTTTTATCTCTCTCTTCCTCTCCCTTCCTCTCTCTGAAATCAATAAAAATATATTTAAAAACAAATAAAGACATATTAAAAAAATAACATATGGTATATTAGGCTCAAGCAAAGTCATTGATTTTAACTGATGGTAACAAGTATATATTATTTCTTATTGTATCTTTTCTTCATCTCCTTTAATAGCTGCTTTTATTAATAAAATCTGTGTGTATATTTTAGGAATGCTGTGACTTTTTTCAGCTGTTTCTATCCATTTATCCAAAAGTAAAGTTCAGAAACTAACAAGAATGTGACTGCCCACAGCATGCATCTTTCTCTAAATCTTTAAAAAAATTTAAGAGATAACAAATTTTCACACAAAAGCCATTAATATCATATTTGCAGAAAGTGATCAGTAATTTTTACAGAGATTTTATTTCTAAAATCAATATAAACCACTTATCTGTTAGGAAATATTTTTGTATTTTTGGATGTCAGGTAACAAAACTCATGACTAGCAGGGTTTAAACTGAGAAGATTTTTTTCCTTCACATTAAACAAATTTATGTACTAGACAGTCCATGGCTAGGAAAACATCTTAATCAGGCATCCACATAATTTTTTCATTATGTTCTTTAATTCTTAGCATTTTGGCTTTTGTCTCCATCTAGATTACCTTTGTTCCTAAGATCCACATTCAGAATGTGAGGAGAATGGAAAGAACAAAAGGAACAATAGCTTGTTTAAGCTGAATTTCTCTTTTCTTTCCCCAATACAGTACAGGTTTTATAAAAACCTTACCGTGCAGAATTAAATTATGTCTCATTGAACAGAATTATGTCTCATGATTACAACTTAAATGAAAGGTCCTTATACTTGGGAGCTGGGTTAGCTGAATAATGGAGCCTACCACATTGTTCATGTAATTATCTTTATTATCTTAATGACCGTCTTACTCTGCTAGGGCTGCCATTGCAAAATGCCACAAACTGGGTGGCTTAAACAACAGAAATCTAGTTTCTCACAGTTCTGGAGGGTGAAATTCCAGGGTCAAAGTGCCTGCTGGTTTGGTTTATCATAATGAAAATGATTGGTTACATTTTTCAAAGATAGGTATAATTTACTGATAATCAATTACTATGTTACTCCTCCCAGACCTCCTAAAATTTTAACAGGGAAGAATATTTTTAACATCAATTTTTTAAATAAACAATTGTTTAGATGTTTTTGAAATTAATATATTTTAAACTTACAATTGACATACAATATTACATTAGTTTCAGATATAAAATATAGTGATTTCACTTATATGTCTTACAAACTCAAAGTGGATTAGAGATTTAACTGTAACACCTAAAACCATAAAACTCTTAGAAGAAAATATAGGCAATAAACTCTTTGACATCACTCTTAGCAATATTTTTTTGGATATGACTTCTCAGGCAAGGGGAACAAAATAAAAAATAAACAAATGGAACTACATCAAACTACAAACTCTGTTCACAGTAAAGGAAACCATCAACAAAATGAAAAGACAATCTCCTGAACAGAAGATTACCAATGCTACGTCCAACAAAGGGTTAATGTCCAAAATATACAAGGTACTCATACAAGTTAACACCAAAAAAACAACCTGATTAAAAAATGGGCAGAGAACTTGAATAGACATTTCTCTAAAGAGGACATACAGATGGCTAACGTATATTAAAAGATGCTCAGCATCACTTATCATCAGAGAAATACAAATAAGAACCACAATGAGATATCACCTCACACCTGTCAGAATGGCTGCCATCAATAAATCCACAGACAGCAAATGCTGGCGAGGGTGTGGAGGAAAGGAAAGCCTCCCACGCCGCTGGTGGGAATGCAGACTGGGGAGCCACTGTGGAAAACAGAATGGAGTTTCCTCAAGAAGATAAAAATGGAGCTGCCTTATGATCCAGCAATTCCACTTCTGGGTATTTATCTGAAGAAATACAAAACACTAATTCAAAAGTATATATGCACCCCTATGTTCACTGCAGCGTTATTTACAATAGTCAAGCTGTGGAAGCAGCCCAAGTGCCCATCCGTAGATGAGTGGATAAAAAGCCGTGGTGCATACACACGATGGAATATTATTCAGCCATAAAAAGGATGACTCGCCATTTGCAACAATACAGTTGGATCTAGTAGGTATTATGCTAAGGGAACACTGATGTAATCCACTGAAGTGGATTTTCACACTTTTATGGAAAGATTTGTGAAGATAATTTCTTACACACTCCCATTTGTACTGCAAGGAAGTTATTTCTTACTCTTGAAGACTTAAAAATATTTTTATGATTAAACATAAAGTGATATTTTTTCACATTTTAAGGGGCAAACCGAACCTTACGGAATTGGGGTGACTTGATGTGGGTGGGAAATAGACATCAGAATGTAAGACATTCTGGTCTAAACACAGATTTGCAGCAGTAAGGGCTGAATTGCACTCTGCCCATGGAGGTTGTATGTACCCCTCAACCACTCTCCTGTCTCACCTCAGCTCCTAGCTCCTGAGCCTCCAAATGCAGCCATTCCAACTCACTTCCTCTTTACCACGTCATTTAATGGTATGTCTTCTACTCCAGCACACTGAAATCATCTCCATATCACAGTTCTTTTTTGGTTTTTTACCCCTTCCATTCTCTACCTCCTTCATCCTGCAAATATTCTCTGCAGGTCCAAATGGAAATTCCATAATTCAACATAACATTATATTAATGGATCAAACCATAGCAGATCTTGTGGAAAAATAATTGTCCTGACATTTTCTTTCTCAAAGTATTACTTCTTCACATGGAAAAGCGTACATGTTCCGGAAGATTTGGTGGCTGAATGTTTATAGTAGCATTAGCCTTGACATTTGCACTTACATTTTTTTTTTTTAAAAAAAAAGCATTTCTAAAAGATTCTTAATCAACTATTCTCCTTGTATAACTCAAAGCCACTTTATCTATTAGTATCTCAAACTGCATGAATTATAGAACTCTATGTTTTATAATCTAAGAGTGACAAAATTGAGACAATATATTCCTTACTGTGAGTGTTGATGTCTAGCAGACACTGAATTAAACTATTTCAACCTACATTTCACTGGGAAAAGGGTAAGACTAATTATATCCTAATATAGAGAATGTGTAACTACCTATAGATTATGAACCTATCCTGTAGTAGATGGAGCACACAACTTTGTTCAGTACCCATTAAGAAGACAGAATTTATTAGAACAGAACTGGAGTAATATAAAAGCAGAATTAGATATCTCTGTAGACCCTTTGTGAAAATTAACGTCTCTAACAGTAAGTCAGTAAGATTAAACCGTGTATGTGGAGAGTAAAGACAAGCTTATTACTATCATAATGTATATGGAAAAATAAGGTATTTTTGTACAGAATATTTTACATCCACTTTTTATTATAGTGTCAGTATAACTCCATGTAATTTAGTAAATAGTTTTTAACATGCTTCCATCAGTTTTTCATTGTTTTCTCTCTAATTTGATGATAGCTATGGGATCATAACTATCCCTTAGTGTTGACACATTAAATAAGTTTCCTGAGCTAAGAAGGGCTAAAAGAAAATTGGTATCTTAAAATGAATTGTGAGGAATGTACTTTAGGGACTAGCAACAGAGCTGTAGCCTATTATTCTATGTCTTAATTGACCTTCTTAAGCTATTGGGAGTCGGGGAGTTTGTGCTCGATGACCGTGGGAAAAGAAAAGGTAAATTTGAAGAGGGTATTAAAATAATGAATGATTAACTTGAGTTTTTATTGTTGAAAGAAGTTATTTCCTAATTACGTTCAGATGTGTACATTGAAATTTATTTAAAGCCATCAGTTTAAGTTTTGAAATATTTTCAAACACTGAAGAGCTAGGGACATTAAAGGATCCTAAGCACTTGGGTAGTTGTCGCTGCCAGTGGAGATGCTGAGTTGTACTCATCCTGTGTTGGCACTATCAGATTAACTATTTGTTCCTCGAATGAAGAACTGCACTAATGAACCAATGAGTAAATAAATAGGCCTATGTTGTACAAGTATAAATAGTCTTATAACCAGATTAATAAAACCGAGAATTAATGAATACAAGGGGAGAAACCTGCCCTGGGTACGTTAGTATGGGTTTTGAGAACACAGAAGTTTACGAAGTGGAAGAACTGCATTTTTTCCCCCTGAAGAAGTATGTGGTGATGGAGACTCGAGAAAGATGTGAGGTCCATTTTATAAAATTTTACGTGGAGCAAAGGCAATTTGAATCAGTTATCATAGAAAAAAGAGATTTGAATTCCGAATTCGAAACTCTACCAAAACCCTCCCAAGCTTACATCTTTCCAAATCACAGTGGAGAGAGAGAGTGTGTGTCTGTGTGTGTGTGTTGCTGCATTATTTCTCTTCTAGTCAGAGTAGCAAACAGCTTTCGAGAATTCCTGGGCCTTGGGTAAGGCCGCACAGAGCTGTGCTATGGGAAATCCAGCAACCAGGAACTGCCTTACATGGAAACAAAGTTCTTAAATCATAACACGGGAGAGTCACATGAACATTAACATTCATCTAGTAGCATGAGCTCACCTCCTCTATTGCTCTTTCTTTTAATAGTGATTCACTTGTCATTTAAAATGAAGTTGACCATTTATTCCATAGGCTTTGGGGAAGAAGCAGTTAAGGTGCACTCCATAAATAAGAACACCAAGACCCCTTCCATTTTTCTTCTGCTCTCTTCCTATTCAGATGATAGCAAATAATTTCCTATATGCTGATATTTTGTTTTTAGAAAAATCTATTGAGTGCCCTTGACTGTCATAGGGCCCTGCCATCTATTTCCCGACAAAACGGATTGCCCAAGATAAGCTATATCAAAGCCAAGTGACCGTTTTTCTTTCAGTAGCTGCCCTTCAACATCTAATTGGCTTATTAATAATAGCCCTATTCAGCAAATCATCTCATTAAGACACCTAGGGGAACGTTTTGCAACTAGATTGTCTTAAATTGTTCCCTAGGCATTTAAATTCTGTAAATTAGGCTCTCTACAAATGGCATAATTGAGATTTTGATGCCTAGGGGAGTATTTGGTAACACCCACTTTAATTTTTTACTATTCCCTAGGAATAGCAATTAGGGGATTAAAAAGCCTCCTTGTCTAATGTTGAATGGGAAATGAAATTGATTTAAATTGGGGAAAATACTAGAACTCTCTTTGGTTCCTTACACCATCAGTTCAACTATGGAAAATGATGGAGGGGCTTTTAATTCATCCTGCTATGAGCTTCGACAATTAACAGTTACATGGTAATTCAGAAGAGACTTTCCGTGTGTCTTGTGCTTGTCGGGAAGTGTCACCTCAAATAATCAGTTCTCAGAAACAGTATTTTTGGAGGATTACCTGAAGGAGAGAAAGACTCTCCATCCCTGTGAAGGATAAATCGTATCCTGGGGTAACTTGGATCTCAGCTGTTGGCTGGTTTATTGGCTTTTTCACCCATATCTCCACTCGGATTCAAAGCAGAACTCAACTCTGGACTTGCACAAAAATATTTGCTCTCACCCAGAACTTCATAGTTACACAGAGCTTATTGAATTACTGGGGAGAGGGAAGGTCTACTTCTTTTTTGTGGCCTTTGTCCCTACCTAACCCTTAGGGCTTCCGGCTCCTCACCCCCTCCTTCCTGTATCTGTGTGTACGCTTAATATATGACATATCAAATAATTATGTGCTGTATGTGTTTTTGTGTCTATAGACATGCGATGCATATTTTCGTGTCTATATAATACAATATATCATGTATATTATCTAAAGTTACTTTCGGATGGAGAATTTTGTAAGCTTCGTTTTTTTGGTCAATAGCTACGGAGATTTTTTTACATTTTCTTAAGAAGGCTCTACGGTCTCTGTTTTTGCACCTCCCAGTGGTTGTGCGTCCTTCCCAGGTTTTCTGTCACTGTGCTTATTTCTGGATCTAAACCCCTGTGAAGGAATCCCATCTCTTCTTTTCGTTAGCTAGTTTAGGACAAATGCAGAGAAGAGTAGCACCGCGCCCGGAGATTGTTATGCTAAGGGCAAGAAGCCAGCCAGAGAAAGGCAGACCCCGTGTGATCTCGCTCGGATGTGGAATCTAGGGAGCAAAATAAACTGAGACACAGCTAGAACCAGAGGCTGGACGCAGGGGCCGGACTGGCAGAGGCCAGAGGGGGGTGTGGGGGCGTCTGGTAAAGGAAGGGGGAGACGTGAGCAAGGCCCAGGAGCACAGCCAGAGGTGCAGGGAATGCCAGGGCCGGGCGCTGGGGGCTGCGTGCATGTGGGCGAAGGGGGAGGTATATGGGGGACATTTGTAATAGTGTCAACAATAAAAATATAGGAATAGCCCTGGAGTTGATTGCTTCCAGTAATTCTCATCCCTGTGGATGCATTGCTGGCTCCTGCGCTCTACTGGCCTTCGTGTTACTGCCTCCAAGGCACCCTCTGGTTCTTGGAAGGCATCTCTTCTGTGCTGGTTTGTCAGCTCCGAGATGAGGGTGTCGCCCTGTCTCAGTCACTGCTGCGCTCCGAGCCCCCCGAGCAGCCTCCCTGGCCTCCGGGGCTGAGCACGGGGATGAGCTGAGGAAGAGGGGCATCGGGGAGACGGCGGCCCGTGGCACAGCTGTCCTGAGCATTTCAGAAGCACGCCTGCCTCCCTTTCTTGACTTTACTGAGCACTTAGTGACTTAGGCAAGTCACCAGTCTCTGGCCCAGACTGTTTCACTTTTCCAGGAGCTTTTTCCGTACACCTCGTGACACTATAAAGACTGGACAGCGTCCAGCCTGACAAATTCACGTGTTTGTAAGTTTCCGAAAGCAAGGGAAATGCCTCCTGTTTATATGGTAATTCTAAGNGTAAAGACTGGACCAGCCTGAAAAATTCACATGTTCAGAAGTTTCCGAAAGCAAGGGAAATGCCTCCTGTTTATATGGTAATTCTAAGCACTTGTCCAAAACCCATGGTATGGTATCAAAACCATAATATATTCTTACCTCCTTTTGAAGGACACTTTGTAGTACCACCAATTGAATGCAATCGTGAAGTTAATTTCCAGAATTTTATTTGAGAAAATAAAATTTTCAATTTGAATCATAAACGCAAAAGAAATTGTTATTCTTTATAATAAGAAACATTGTAAAATATTAGTTTAACGTAAAGTAACAGTTAGCTGAGCTCTGAGGTTAAAAAAGTTGAACAATCTATCTATCTCTACAACCAGACTACAATTTATTTATAATTACCCCTCTGGGAAATTGAGATTTGCAATTTCGGTGAAAAATTATTAGCTACATGACTCCACAGAGAATATTATTTCATTTCCATATAGTTATTATGGAAATAGTTTCTCCTTAAAAATAGCTGTCATTTACTAAGTAATTAGGATACCCAAGGTCCTGGAATGCACAGTGTAATCGCTTTTTCTCATTGCCCCTCATGCAAGCTCAGGGAGGCCGCAGAGAGCACCCTTCCGTACAGAGAGAGGGAAACGGCAGAGAGGTTAAGGAACTTGCCTGTGTTCAAATGGTTAACATGACCCAGGTGCCTGTTCACATGGTTTGGGATAGTTGAATTCATAAAATCATATCAATTTATTTTTCTGTGTTAATTGTAGCCACAGTATTTTTAAAAATAAAATGTAATTCAAATATTATATGACTAAAACATTTATTTTAGAAAAGACTCCGGATTTAAGTGTAGAAGTCAAGAATTTTATTTCCTTATGCTAATAACTTTAACAGATAATAATTTTTCAGTATGTTGTTTTACTGAGTATAAAATACTATAGTAATAAAAAATACTAATGGTCACTTAAATTCATAAAAAATATTCAAACTTTATTTGTAAGACATTTTATCACCACCCCGCAAAAACAAACAAACTTAAATGATACTCTAGTGGATATATTAGGCTTTTTCTATATATCATATTTAATTTTCCTGATTATTAATAATCAGCAAAGTGGGCAAGTAGCAAACTGGTATCTGTGATACTTTTAACAATCTTAATAGAAGTAAATTACCATCTGCTAATTATGAAATCATCACTGTTTGGCTAATATAAAAACGTTTGCATTTATATAGAAAAGCCTTAGAATTACTTCATGGATATAGCAGCTTTATTTATCTCTGTAGATAAGAAAATTTATTTCCTTGATACTAATCAATCCACTGTTTCCACCTCAAGATAATTTTGTCTTAAATCTCAACTTTAGTGTATCGGTATTTACAAAATAGATTGTTGTTGCCTTTACAGAAAGATAAAGAAGACCAGTGGCTGGAGAAAAAGGTGCAGGGAAATAAAGACCATATTATTTTGGAGCATCTACAGTGGACAATGGGGTATGAGGTTCAAATTACAGCTGCCAACAGATTAGGATATTCAGAACCAACGGTCTATGAGTTCAGCATGCCGCCAAAGCCCAACATTATTAAAGGTAAGCAGAACTATACACTTTCTTAGGCTGAAAATAAACATCATGTCCTCTTTATAATCCCTCTGAATTGTTTCTTATTGAAAACATAATTTTCTGGAAAGAAGTGCACATTGTAAGCTCTAATAATGATTATCGTGACGTGTCTTACTCAAGATTTCTCAATCACTCTTGCCACGGTGACCTCGCTGATTTATAAATGTATTTTGATAACGTGAATGGTTGAAGTGATGAGCAGAGGGGGAGAACGGAAGGTAAGAGTGACTGTTGAATATCAACATGAACCTTTTCTGTTGAGATCAGAAGGGGTCCTCCGCTTCTGGGAAGATGTGGCCAAAATGTAATGACAAGCTCATCTGTGCCCCACCAAGCAAGTTGATGCTTGAAACATAAACACAATTACACAAGGAGGCAGAAACACCCGCAGACGTAGCCCCAGAAAGACATGTAGCTGGTTTCAGGGGCCGGCAGCGCGGCAGGACGCCGTGCCTCGGCGCTCGCGGCACGCTGGGGGCGCCCGCCTTTGCCAGGCGACGGGGCTCACGGCTCCCCTGCTGCTGCTGTTACCAGAGTCCACGGCAGGGACGTGAGCGTAACCTTCAGATGCATCCTGTAGAGGTAAAGATGCTAGAGTTCACCTTGGTTCGTGGACATATTTAACTCTGTTAGTGAGTTGTCATATTGCACATATTTTAACATTTAGTTTTCCTTTAAATATATTTAATACTGATAATTTTTACACATATATGTATATGTATATATACATAGTCCATATATAGAGAGAGAGCAAGTGAGAGCAGCATATTCATAAAGCATGGCTTAAGTCATTTTATAATAGAGTCTCAGTATTGCTACATAACATTTTTGAGACTGTAAAAACATAAAATTTGCCAGTTCAGTTATGGTATTTAACCCTCTTATAATTTCAAGTTGATATTTATGTCATCACTATGATTTTGTATTTTGTACATCAGTTTTGTAAAATTGAGAGCAGCTTTATACAATTAATCTTTCTATTAAAAATAATTACTATTGGCTATATCCTTAAAAGTAATTGATATTATGGCTTCTTATTGCTAATATTCATTAATAAGTGCTTCCAATTATAATTTGAAATTAGGAAGTTGGGAACATCTAGAAATAACATGGGTATCTTATATTGTAATGGCATTTTGAAAAATGTACAGAGTACTTCTGCATTTATTATCTCATTTTAATCTTGAATCTAAATTGAACAATGAAGAGTTATTCCTATTTTACTGATATGATTTTTGAGAGGTTAAAAGATCTGTTCAAGGTCAGAGCTACTTTAAGTCATACGACAAATGTAATGCCCTTATAAATGGTCCACCTAAATGAGATGAATGGCTGAATGTACTATCAAGGTCATCGCCCTGTGAGTTTGAAACATCAGTAACTGCCTCTAAGATGATAGTGTATTATGTTTGTAGTAATTATCCTCTATGCAGATATAAAAAATATGATAGAAATATTATTAATGCGAGTCAGCAAAGCGAAATTGAAATAGTGTACTCTGCTCCTAAATCTCCAGTTTAGCTCATATGTTTAAAGGAAATAATTATCTTTTTCAGGATAAAAATTAATGTTTTATGATGGAGAAGGTAACATTTTAATAACATTTTATAGGTAAAACACAAACTGTAAAAAAATAGATTTCAGGCAGGTTACTTTTATGTTATACTCCCAGAGACCCTACTATTTTTATAAGAAATAGTTAATAAAAACCTACATTAACTATAGACAAAAGGTAAATAAATAAATAATAACATGTACATAAAAGCACAAAAGTAGGCAAGGTATTCTATATACATTTACTATAAAAATAGTTTTTGTTTGTTTCAATTTTGGAGAATCAGCTTGTGGGCAGGACCAACAAGGAAAATGGAAAGAATTCTGGTTTGTAGTTTCAGCTTTGCTCTTGTCACTTAATATCTCTTGATATGCATTTTCTCATCTCTAAGCTAGTTTCTTCTGGTTCTGTAATGCTAAGATTCATTCACTCATTCATGCTGATTATTTATTGGGCTCTTGCTTTGTGACAAGTACTGAAATAGGAACAGAAGAATGATCTGTGAAAAGTACAGAACTGGCTCCTGCCTTCAAAGACTTTACAGTCTAGTGGGGAAGGGCAGACATTAGAGAAGAGTTGGAATAACCATGAAGTAATTACAGCTAAGAGATGGGTGGATGCATTACGCTGCTGAGAGGGGCTTTGACAAGGGTATCTAATTTAGACAGGAGGGCTTGGGGTTAAGGAAAGGTTCACTTAGAAAGTGACTTCACCAAGGAACCTTGCAGGGAAGAGACCTGCCAGGGAAAGTGTCTTGTATGGAAGAAACCTCTGAGAGAAGTTCTTGATCCGCTTTAGGAACTAGAAAGAGCATGGCAGGAACCTGGAGGTGTGTGAACAAAGATAATGATAGAGAGAGACCTGCAACCCAGGAAATCCAAGGTCTTCTAAAACTGTATAAATGATTTTACAACAGATCCTAAAACCAGTAAGAAATTATTTGAAGCAGGGAAGTTATATGAGTAGACAGGCGTTATAAACAGACCTATCTTGCTCACATGGGTTAAAAGCAATATGTGGGTGAGCAGGAATGCTTGAAAAGAATGACAGGAGTAGAAAACAAATGAATAAGTTCCAGACACATTGTAGATATAGACTGACCCTGCTTGTGCAGCAGATCAGGTTCAGTAGGTACCGATGATTTTTGAGTGTCTTGCTTGGGCAGTTGGGTCATTCTTGGCATCATTTCTGAAGACGAAGAATTTTGGATTTGGACAGTGAAGATTAACATAAGATCAGTTTGGTATTCATTAAGTGTTCAGTGTCAAGTAGTAGTTAGATATGTGCATATGGAGATGAAAAGATCCATGCTTTGGGAACAGAGATTACAATGTTGTCAGCTTTACCAGAAAAATGGCATTTGCAGCCTGGGTAAAGTGAAGGCCGGACACTGAGTAATGCCTATGAAAAGGAGTTGATGTCTGCAGTGCTCATAGATGTTTCCCTGGTATCTAGAAGAGTGACTGGCACAGCATAGATGTTCAAGGGGTGCTTCTTGAGTACTGACGTGCAGAGGGTCAAGAACTGCATCCTAAGAAGCCTTAATAGTTCACAGGAAAAGGAAACCACTCCATCGCCTCTCCAACGAGACTAAGCTAGAGAATTCCGGGACTAACACAAGACTAGTATCTTGGAAGTTAGCAGAGAGTCGTATTTCAAGAAGAAAAGATATAAATCACATTTAACACTTCACATTCTGCTGGGAGGTCAGTGGAACTTAATCAAAAGAAATACCAAGTTCCCTTATCACATCCAGCTTTGCTGAAGTGGTTGGAAGAGAAATTAAGGAGGAATAATCTGAGGATTGTGTGTGAGGTTTGGACATGGAGATGCCATGTTTATGTAATGCTTTCGAGAAGCTTTGCTATGAAGATGAGCAGAGGGGGGAAAACAGTCAGTGTTATAAGGACTTTTATGATGTAAAAAACTAGAGCCTGTTTCACAGCTGAGAAACAGATAATGAAGACAGAAGTCAGACATAGAGATGTACAGACAAAGATATCTGAAAAGGTAGGAGAGAGAATTCATCTCCTCTCAGCTGTGAAGCTGATACAAAGCCAGAGCAGCTTACTGGAAATGGGGGGGATATTTATTTTATCTACAAAAATGTCACAAAATAATATCTAACTTACGATGACTGAATCCACTGACTGCTAAGGCCTCTTGGAAAACCACATCAAAGACATGCTCTTATAGTTAAAATGTTTTATTTATCTCTAGAAGGTTTCTTGGAGTTTGTGACGGATGATGGTGAATTTGGGAGCCTTTACACCCAAAATATTCTAGAGAGTTAAAATTACATATTGGCAAAATAACAAAAAATGATCTTTATATGCTTTCATCATAATTTTGTACTGTAGATGATTTCTTATTCTATTTTAAATATGCTATATTTATTCTCATATCTAAAATAAGTTATCTATGATAAACTAGCAGGTCTTGTCTTTTATTTAACTTGAGATGGTATGGAGTTTAGAAGTTAATTTAGGTTTTGTTGGTTTTTGTTTTGCTCTCTTCTGTTATTTTGTTTTGTTTATATAGCTTGCATCGTAGACTGCCCAGATGAAGATGGGGGGAGGGATTAGGGGATGGTTGAGAAAGGTGAAGGGATTAAGAACTACAAAGTGGTTGATACAGAATAGTCACGGGATGTAAAGTACAGCATGAGGAATATAGTCAATAATATTCTAATAACTATGTATGGTGTCAGATGGGTGCGAAACATCGGGATGATCTCTTAGGAAGTTATGCAATGTCTAATCATTGAGTGCACACCTGAAACACATAGAAGAGTGTATTTTTCAACTGTAATTGAAAAATAAAAAAATGATTTAAAATTTTAAAAAACATTATTTATGTGCATTCAGATATATTTAACTTTTTGTAAGCAGTAGACTAAATCTAGAGTACATTTATTTGTTGGACTGAAGAACTACTTTTGAAAATATATTCATCTTACCTTCATATTCTATTGATAAAAGTGGCTTTTCTATTTATGTATCTTAGGGGATACTACATTTCTTTAGAGTACATGATTCTGATTTAAAAAGTATTTTGTGATTAACAATATTTTATTATTTTTACTATTAAAGATGCGTTTATTTTGAAAGATGTGTTTTTTGATTTACGTAGAGAGTGTAAGTTCACATCATGTTCCATTCTGAAACAGTCATCCAACATAATTCTATCTCATTTTATTCTAAAAATATGAGACTGTTGGATAATTACAATAAATTAATTCTCATAAAAATTATTACAAAACTATATATAGAACTAGAGTCTGGTAAAATGGAACTTATTGATTTGTTCTGTAATTTTAATGACTAAAAATACTGCCAACTTGGTGGCTTGAATATACTGTTTTAAAAAATCCTTGGAAATAAATTTATTTTGAGACCATTTTTTATCATTT